GGAGGGAGGGGGAGAGAGAGAGAGAGAGAGAGAGTACCCAGTCCTGGTTTGGGCTTTTTGAAACTTTAAAGCCCACTTCCAGTGGCACACTTCCTCCAACAAGGCCTCCTAATCCTTCTAATTCTATCAGAGTTCTGCTCACTAAGCATTCAAATCTGAGAGCCTGCAGGGCCACTCTCATTCAAACCATCCCACCTGTTTCACTGAGACACCTTTTCTGCTTGGCCGCTGAGAAACTAACTTCCTTTTGATTTTCTTGTGTGTCTGCTGAGCTTGTGCACCAGGTATTAGTCAGGTCCCTAAAGTGGCACCCCAAAAAGGACCAGGCAAAGCATATTCCATTACATAATTTAGCTTGAGAGCCATGGAATGTCCCCACACCATAGTTATAGGTCACCCAGATTCAAAAGGAGGGACTCCACCTCACCATGGAGGAAATGCACCAAGCAAGGAGAGTGTGTGAGAGAGGAAATGGTGGTGCAGACATGCTATTTTGTTTTGTTTTCTTTTAAACTCTTTTCTGATGAAATGTTCCTAGGAATACTCTTTTTGCTTATAAAGTTCTTTATGACAAGCAAGTGTTCCATCAGCATTTGCAAAGTATGTAAATAAAAACACAAATCATGGTCACAACAAAAAAGTGTTTATCAAGAGCTTTCTGTGTTCAGCATGAAGTAAAACTTTTTAGCCCCCCAGTATCTGAGGAGAAAGAAACCAAGGCTTAGAGCAGTCCCACACAGCTGACAAGGGATATGGCCAAGACTGGAAGCCACCAGATGCAGGGGATTTCTTCAGGACACTTCAGGATAGGGAGAAGACCGACCAAGACACCTGAGTTCCTCCCTGTCCTGGCATCGGGGACAGCAACTAGCATGACCTGACCAAGGTGGCTGCCTTAGCAGCTTTCACATGACCTCAGAACTTCTCCGAACATCTGTGCAGGGACCTGGAGGCTGCAACTATGTATGTCTGAGCCATTTCCTTTCCCTTCTCATTCCAGTCTGGGTAGCTGCCGATGCTATTTCTGTGGAAACTACGCAGGAAGTCCTTCGGGCTGCTAGAGGCAAGAGTGTCACCCTCCCATGTACCTATATCACCTCTGCTCCAGACCGAGACGGACTTATTCAGTGGGATAAGCTGCTCAGGAGTGAAACGGTAAGGCTCTAGGATGGACTGGGGCATCACGGGTCATGACTCATCTGACTATGATCTCCTGACAGGCATGGACCTTAAAACCTTCCTTCTGTCACTCCTTCTTTCCTCATCTCTGGGTTGAGATTCAAACCCAGGGCCTTATGCATCTGATCCTGCATTCTACCACTGAGCTATGGACTCCCTATCTTCTTTCAAAAATTATTTCATGAAGATGATATATATTACATATAGCATTGGTTTGTTTCCAATATTTTGCTGCCATGATAAACATAGTAATATATGATACATATCATCTGATAGATTACTAAAAGTGGAGCTTACTTGCCTAGCATTCGCCGGGTTCTGAAACAAACAAATAAGAGTGGAACTTCTGGGTTAAAGGGTATATGAACTTGCACTTTTTATAATTAAGGCATTTCATTAGCTGCCTTACCAATCTTCATTTTCAACCACATAGCGTCCACCGTTTTCCCAGCATTTGCGCAAACTGTCTGATAATTGGTAATATAAGAGAAAAACGTATCTCTCTTGTGATCCACAGCATATCTGTTTATAAGAAATGGATCATCCATTCATTTAAGTCAGATCTTTCCAAATGCTAACATGGGCAAGGGGAGTGCTGGAGGGCACCCTAACCCCACTTCTCAGACGGTGAAGCCAGAGGGAGCTCCAGTTTCAATCCGGCCTCCCCCTTCCTCCCTCCCTTTCTCTCAAAAAATTCTTTTACAAATAAAATTACTTTATTCTAATGAATTTCAAAGCCCTCACACAGCTAGTTTAAGGAAGCCACTGAAACACTTGCCCAGTCCCAAACTCTCTACATCTCAGTGAACTTCTATACAGTTACAACAGCCATGTAGAAGCCATGGAACTTGAGGTTTACACTTTTAACTATCAAGTACATTTGCATGTATTTACTATCTTAGTTAGGGTTCTATTGCTTTGACACAGCACCAGGACCAAAAAGCAACTTGGAGAGGAAGAGTTTATTTCAATTACATTTCTGCACCTCAGTCCATCATCAAAGGAAGTCAGGGCAAGAACGCAAGACAGGAACCTGGGGGAGGAACTGAAGCAGAGGCCATGGAGGAGAACTGCTTGCTGTCTGCTCTTCATGGCTTGCTCAGTCTGCTTTCTTATAGCACCCAGGGCTACCTACCAGCCCAGGGGAGCATCATGCATAGTGAGGGCCCGTCCCACGTCAGCCACCCATCAAGAAAATGCACTACGGAATCTTATGGAGGCATTTTCTCAATTGAGAGGCCCTCTTCCCAATGACCCTAGCTTGTGTCAAATTGACATAAACTGACCAAAACACTTATCTAGGACAGAAAAAGAAGGAAAAAAAAAACTCCATTGGAAACTAAGTATTGAAACTAAGAAAAAAACTAGCTTTACATCCTCTTGTGGGACTTATGTGTCCTTTTGCCTGCATCCTCTCCTTCCTCGTCACCCACCCCTGCTGTCCCTTGGTCTCCTTTCTGCAGTGTAACCTTTAGAAAAAAGAAACTCTCAATAACACATCTGCCAGAGATAATCATCCAGTCCCCAGCCATCCAGAGAAAGAGGCTATAGCCTTTTCCCTGACAGAATCCCAGGACACCTGCGTCCTGGATGACACGACTGACAAAGGAAGGAGTCAGTCTTATCTCTGTGTACCTGGGGCCTGATGGACCACAGGTCCCACCTGTCTGCTCCCAGAGTGAAAAGAGCAGAATCCTTGATGCTGTCTTGAGCATCAGGAACTGAAGGGCCCTGTGCCTCCCCGCAGACACATCCAGCAAGCCGATGTGATGTCTATGGATGACTTACCCTGAGTGCTGATGTAGACACAGAGGTTATGTACTAGCTACTGGATACGCTACTCCTCAAAGGGTTTGAGGCAGCTCCCTCAGGACCAATAATGGAGACAGATTATCATCTATGAGTTCTAGGAAGTGGTGTGGTCAGGAAGAGGTCCAGGGACAATCTTAGGGTATCTTTGCTAAGAGGATGTTCTGGGGTGGAAAATCCAAGCAGTACCAGGCAGGGTCAGGAAACATCCATGGAGTGATCATAGGCCCAGACACCACCTCATCCTCAGCCTTCTTCTTGCCTCCCTGTCTCAGCCAGACATTCTAAAAGGGCTGTCAACTCTCTCAGATATGGTTGGACAACTTGTGTCTTGTACAAGGGTATCCAGCTGAGGGCACTTGTGTTCCAATAGCTAAGCCATGCCCCTGACTTAGGCTGTGTGGGTTGGAAAGCTGGAGTGCCTTGTTCATCAGGCCTGAGACGTGGCAAAGCGTCTCCAGTCTCCTCCCTGCCCACCAATGCCTACTTTCTCTCCTAAACATCCCTGAAATCACCAGCATTTCACACTAGCAACTACTTTCTGTTCCCAGAGCCCCTCCTCCCTTAACTTTGGTGGTGGGGGGGTCTTGGCTTGGGGATCCCCTTTATCTCTCTGAGCTCCACTTGATTCTTTGAATGACTTGGGGACTTGCCATTTGTTTTAGGCCATGTCTAGCCCATGTCTCGGTGAACACCTATGCCACTCACTGGCTCTCGAACCTCACCCCCAGATGTATTACAGCTGGAAGTTTCTCCTTAGTTCTGTTCTCAAAAGAAGGAATTCAGACAAGAACAAAAACAAAAACACAAAACAAAACAACAAAAAAAAAAACAAAAACACAAAACAAAACAACAAAAAAAAAAACAAAAACAAAAAACAAAAAACAAAAAACACAGAGTTAAAGCAGAAGTTTATTTAGCAAGGCAAAATGTACACCCCAAAGAGCCTGGAGTGGTCTGAACTGAATGTGGAGGAGGTAGCAGCCCACTGGGTTCCGCCTATAGAAATGTAGCAGTTTTATGAATATATTTGAGGTCGGCCACCTATTCATTGGGGCAAGAGGAGCCCCCTTTCCTCTCAAATCATGGTAGACTGGATTTTGCTTTTAGGATATTTCTACTTATTATCCTTTTGAAAAGCCCACCAAGTAGGGGAGGGGTCAAACCCACGGTACAAATGACGTGATGATGAAGCTGGGGTCATTTGAGGATGTGCATCCTTTATAGGTGCACATGGGTGACAACGAGAAAGAGCTCCCGTGCCTTGGTTTCTGCTACATCAGGAGGAACTAACTGCATCGTGCACTTTGTTTAACCACAAAGAGGCATTCTAACAGCAGGAGACAGAGCTACCATGGTATCATGTAGTTTCCTTGCTCCGAGTCTAACTCCTTACCTATCTTGTTTCAGTGACATTCAGCCAACTCATTTGATCATATTGGATTTCTCCACTTGGGTGTCCCACGGACACTTTAGGCATGGCCCATGTAAACAGAACACATATTTTCTGCTTAAAACACTCTCTTCATGTGTGTTGATTCTGTTGGGAAGGGCACCATCAAACGTACATGCCTAAACCCTTCTATCTGGGATTAGCTGCTCTCTGACTCCGTTCCCCAGTCCCCAACTTTCAAGTGCCCTTCTTCTCCCTTCTCCAACTCATTTTACTCTCTGCCTGACACAACCCAATGTGACAATAATCAAAGTTTGTCACCAGTCATGCGGCTGATCTCCTTCCTGGTTCCTTTTATTTTTATCTTTTGTTTTTTAAGGCAGGAATTCTCTGTGTATCAGTCATGGCTATCCTGGCATTCGATCTATAGACCAGGCTGGCCTTGAACTCACAGAGATCTGCCCGCCTCTGCCTCCCAAGTACTGGGATTAAAGGCGTTTTCCACCACTGCCCAGTTCTTCCTGGTTCCTTCTTAACCTGACCTTTTTGCCTTTTAATCATTCATACACTGTATCAAGAGCCAACCTTATGCCAGGCAGTGGTGGCTCACGCATGTAAGGGAGGCAGAGGTAGGCAGATCTCTGTAAGTTCAAGGCCAGACTGGTCTACGAAGTGAGTTCCAGGACATCCAAGACTGTTTCACAGAGAAACCCTGTCTTGGGGGAAAGAAAAGAGCTAACCTTATAAAACACAGACTTCTCAGTCAAGGATAAACTTAGTGGCAGAGCAAGTGGGAGGCCTCTGGGCTCAACCCATACTTACTGGAAAACAAAGCAACTGAAGTACATTATTGCCTTGCGGATGAACTGTGAACCATTTAGTGTCACACTGTCTCAGATGTGACTCAATAGACTCTGCAGAGTTCAGACTCTGAGCCAGAATGCCCAGGGTCACCTCAGCTCTGCCATTCACTTAAACTGTGAACTTGGGGACCATACTTAATCAGCCTTTTGGTGCCTCGGTTTCCCCCGTGAAAGATAGATATGATCATAAGGTCTAGAGGACTGTTGTGATGGTTAAATGAGATAATACAATCTAGCATTTGGAACGGTACACAGCATAAAACATACATGCCGTAAGCTATAGCCTGTATTGCCTAGGCTCAGCTCATACTAACCTGTCGCTCACTCACACTGTGCCACTTGGGATTGGCAACGTTGCTGTCTGCTTTTAGGTTTTTCCTTTGCCTCTGATGTCTCATGCGCTTACCTTACACCAGCACACACTGCTCCAAGCCCCTAGCTATTTACCTGGTTAATTCACAGCTTCTTTTCAAGCTTCAAGGCAGCTATCACCCTTTTTAGGAACCCACCCCGCCCCACCTGACCAGTCTCGAATCTCATTATCGCTAGATACTGTGGTTGGTTGTTTTCCAAACTCATAGTCTTTGAGGGCAGAACTCATGAGTTATATGCTGGGAACACGGTAGATTGTAATAACGGCTAACAACGGTAGACAACACACCAGGCAAACCCCAACTGCTCTGCATATATTACCGGCTTTAGTCTCCACCACAATAGCACGAGGTAAGTTATTATCAACATCTCTGGTTTGTAGGCAAGGAAACAGAGTCCCAAGCAGTCAAGCTCGTTGCTCAAGGACCTTTAGCCAGCAAGGAGCAGAGTTAGGATCTGACTGAGGCAGTCTGGCTTGGCAGTCTGTGGTATGAGCCACTGGTGAGCCGCTCCATAAACATTGACGAATAAACGAATAAACAAATTGCAAGGGCAATAGTCAAAATCAAGTGAACTTGGAATTTGAGAGTGGTTACCTAGCCTGGTGCTTATTGTGACGTGGTGCTCAGAAAGTGTTGGGCAAAGGAACAAATGAATGAGAATAAAGAAACAGCTGAGAGGGAACCAAGGAGAGAGATGCTAGCTGCAACCCTGAGTGCGACTGGAGACGCCCTGTTTTCCAGTGCATGTGCTTCCGCGTTGTTTCTGGTTTTGCTTTGAGTCAGGGTTCCATGTTGGCTTAGCACTTGCTCATAGCCAAGGTGGCTTTGAACTTCTTCCTGTTTCTACCCCTGGAATGCTGAGATGACTGGCATACACTACCACCCCAAGTTTACCCATGAGGTGTTGGGGAACAAACCCAGGCCTGTATGTGTGCTAGGTAAGTACTACCAATTAAATTACAACTCCAGCCCCTAAAGTTTCCATCAGGTAAATCTTTAAAGTCTAAAGTTAACTAGTTAGGAATCTACCAGTGGGCACTGCACACCTGTTTGAGACACTGCTGGTCCATGCATCTGGGTTCTGGGGGTGAGAGATTGGGTCAGGGCAGGTTCAAACCAGGGCCTGGCAGCTTTTCTTCTTTCTCTTAGGAAAGAGTGGTCACATGGACTTTTGAGAAGCAAAACTATGTTTATGGGCCCCGTTATGATAACCGGGTGAAGATATCTAATGATGTCCAGCTGTCAGATGCCTCCATCACCATTGACCAGCTAACCATGGACGACAACGGCACCTACGAGTGCTCCGTCTCACTCTTGTCAGACTTGGAAGGTACCTCCAAGGCTCGGGTCCGCCTCTTGGTCCTTGGTGAGTGTCTCCATCTTTTCCTATAGGAAGAGGGTGGGCAGTGGAGCCCTGAGGGCAGCATAATGCCATAAATCCAGACACACCAGGGGCTGATTGGTAGCCCTGTGTTGTGTTGGCCTGGCCTACGTCAGAGCAGCTGCAGGGTTCTCAGTGCCCAGTTCTGAGGGCAGAGGCAGAAGCTGTGGAGTCCTCCCTTGCTCCCTCTGCTCTTTTTCCCCTCCACACCAACTCTTCTTTTCCCTGCCAAACTCATTTCTGAAGGGAACTCCCACATAATACGCAGATTCTCATCTCACCTTAATCAGTACTTGCTGCTGAGAGGGCCGATCATGACTCCCACAGATGATGCATCTCACTTTTGTCAACTCTGCTTCATATGGCAGTCTCCCCACCCATCTCTAACAAAGGCAGCATCGCCAACCCATGGGAAGAGTGTCCCAAGAGCCACCCTTTCCACAGGGGAAGCTTTTAGAATTTATATTTTTTGGAAGGATGAGGAAACTCATCTGCTTAAGTTTCTGAGTAAATGAGGCCCAGAGAAAGGAAGCAATTGCCCCCAAACCAGTTCCTGGGGGCACCTTAGTGAGTACCTTGTCTATGTCCTGTATAAGAAATGGCCCCCTCTGGGAGGTAGCCACTCTGCCCATGGAAACAACGGATCCTTTCTTTCTCTTTTCTCTTTACACCACTTGACAAAATTTCTTTTAAACTGCACATGGTAGCTGCTGGGCCTATAGAAAGCATTTTAGTGTGTCGGCATACATAGCAGCGCACACTAATGCTGGATAAAGAATAATGGGGGCCTCTGCCCACGCTGCCACCCAGAGGCAGCCAATGGTAATGCAGGCAGGCATCCTAGACTTTCCCGGTGTTCTCTCACTGCACAGCACACACCCATAACGCTCTCCTCTTTCCGTGGAAGAAGTAGGATGTTATAAAGCACTAGGCGATTTGCTCTTAGACAATGTCCCCGGGCCAACACATGCAGACCTACTGTGAGAGAGTACATTCCCTCACATGATTGCATGTAACATGATAAGTAAAAGACCCAGAGACTGATATTGGGGTTCAAGCTGCAAGCTGAAGAGCAGAAAAGCAAAGCAGCTGGTCACTAGCGCTTACTCTACCTCAGACTGAAAGGTGATTCTGGCTCCACCAAACCTCAGACTGCTGCTTCTCCTCAATGTGGCTGGAGAATCCTGAGACTTCAATGTCTTCCCATCCTCCATGTGCCTGGAGAATAAATGCCCGATACTCACTACTGAAGACCCTGCTCCTATCTTTTATACCCATCTAGTGCTGGGATTAGAGGTGTGTGATCTCAGGTGTTGAGATCATCTTTATGTGAGCTGTTTCTCTTTAGGACTGGGTCAATCTTGTGTAAAGGTGGGTGGCCTTGGACTCGCAGATATCTGCCTGCCTCTTACCCCAAGTCCTGGGATTAAAGGTGTGTATCACCACTGCCTGACGTCTATAGCTTGTGGCTGACTTTGCTTTCCAAATCCTCAGGCAAGCTTTAATAAATCACAAATAATATATTATCACAGTTGCACAATGGCCTACTCAAGTGTTTCATACTGACGGATATTTAGACTGGTTTCCTTGCTTATTTTTGTTGTTGTTGTTGTTTGTTTTTTGCACAAGCCATACTGCAATTCACCCCTATACACTTTGTGTATATGTATATATAAAAGTATACATAATTATACATAGAAAGATTATATATACCTGGACACATACAAAGTTTGGGTTCTCTAAATACCTGGCCTGTCTTTTGGCATAATATTTCAGCGCGTTGGAAGGGAAGTGGCAGGAACCCATATATATCTGGCCTGATTCTGCAGTTCCTCCAACCACACTCCTGTCCTTACACCAAGCACCAGCCACTTCTTTTGTTGTTGTTTTTCGAGACAGGGTTTCTCTGTGAAACTGTCTCATCTGTCACACTGTGGGCCAAGCTGGCCTCAAACTCATAGATATCCGCCTGCCTCTGCCACCCAAGTGCTGGATTAAAGGAGTGTGCCACCATCCCCCAGCTGGACCAGTCACTTCTAAAGAGGAACAACTTAACCTGAAGAGTGAAAGATACAAGTTTAATCTGAGACTATGGAATTCATTGAAACCGATCTTTCACTTTTAAAAAGAGACCATTGACTGGGTGGTGGTGGCACACACCTTTAATCCCAGCACTAGGGAGGCAGAGGCAGGCAGATCTCTGTGAGTTCGAGGCCAACCTGGTCTACAGAGCCAGCTCCAAGACAGGCTCCAAAGCAATACCTGTTTCGAAAAACCAAAATAAATAAATAAATAAATAAATAAATAGACCGTTTTTGTCCTACATGCTAATAAACTCAGCTAGATTCTTCGTGAAAAGCTTTCTCTCTTGGTGTCTTTATAGCTGGATGTTTTTTAAAGGAGAGCGGCTTTAATTATATGGGGCGTTTTATTTTGGGCAGGCTAGCGGCAAGTCCCCAAGCCTTAGCCTCTGGGAGCTAGCCTTGTCTAGCTCACCTTCAGAAAGCCAGGAAGCCAAAAGGCTTAGCGGCCAGTGAGCCAGGTAGGATTCTTGCTCTGGCCTCTGGCGACCCCTGACGTCCGTAGAGGGAACAACCGGCACCGGAGAGCTCTGGCGCTCTGGAGCTCTGGAGCATTCCCTTCCACCCTCTATTGCCTCTCTCCCAGTAAATATACAGGTAACATCTTCATACTGCTTGTAAAACAGGCCATCTGAGGACAAGACCCCCTCCGGCACCAGTACTCTTAGCCCCCGCATGTGGGGCTCGTTGAACTAGATATGATGTGAGGTCCCAGCTGTTTGTGATTGGAGCGCTGGCGATCTGGAGAGGGAGGGCAGGGGTGCGCCTGGGGTGGGGTCAGGTAGGAAGTTCAGGGCCTGTGGTCAAGGGCCTGTAGCAAAAGGTCTCAACACAGTCCCCCTTAAAATCAGATCTCCCTTGCTGGCCATCACGCCCCTCTCCCCCGCCTCCTCCCGTGGGCAGTTTCTGGAGTTCCTACTCTTTGCCAAGCAATGTAGTCTTTCACCATGTCCATTTGCTCCTTATGCTTCGGCAGTTAGTTTCCAGAATTCTCCTTCCTGCTTCTGTCCTGTGTTTGCCCCCTGCAAAGAAAACCTACCTCAGGGAGTTCCAGTGCCACTCCACCACTTAATCTTAGATGGTGTGGAGTTTGCCTCTGAGCCTCCTGCTAAAAGCAGGCCTGAGGGTGAGGCTAGCTAGGTAAGGGCGGGGCGGGGCAGGGCAGGGAACCACTGTGGGGCCCAGGAGAGAAAGCAAAGCCCAGCAGGAGTATACAGAGGGTAAGTCCACCCACCCTGCACGCCCGGGGCTGCTTGCTGGGCTAGCAAGATGGCAGGTTAGCCAGCTGCTGGCAGGCCTTCTGCCCACCTGCTCCTGCAGGCCTGTCTTTGATCCTCAGAAGCCTGGGTTTTGTTTGGCAATAAGGGAGTTGCCTCTAATGTGTCTGGTGGTTCGTACCTGACTGGCCCAGCTGTGTTAGCAGATGCCAGGCACTCCTAATAATAGCCTGCCCTTTGCCAAGAAGAAAACCTGCAGCTGCTCTACTGGAAGAGAAAGGAGAGTCAGGGACCGTTCCCCCAGGAACTTCCAGGTGAGCTGAGGCTGGCCTTCACCCCCAGAATGGGTGGCCGAAGCAAGCCATCCAAGAGGGCATGTGATAAAAGTAGAGGGGACAGGCCCACTACCTGAGGAGATCAGTGACAACTTTCCCCACCATGTGTTCTCTATTTCTTGCCCTTAAAAAATGCTTCCTGAAGTCTCTTGGCTACTTCCTGCTTCCCCTGTTTAGCTTACTCATCTCTGCTCTAATTCTTCCCACCAGGTTCACATGGTGACCTTCAGGTCACAGCCATATGTATGATGTGTTGGGTCACCATTCTCTGCCCGGCAGTCTTGCCCCCTGCTCTGTTGTTGCTTGTCTGTTGTCCCCCATTGGATTCCTTGACTCACTCACAGGGTCACTCTAGTGCCCAGCGTTGCTAGACAGAACCCAGTTACCTAATAACATTTATAGAACCACCACTCCACCCACTGTGACAGTATCAAGGCTGAGGGAAAGACACAGGCTTGGAATCTCAAGAAGCCAGGGGGACCAAGGACAGATCGTTGGCTCCCATTGCTGGGGTTTACAAAATTTTCTGTGGCATTCCTTTGATTGCCCCTGCCCACCCCCACATCTTCAGCCACACTTGCCACCCAGCAGGAAGGTCTGCATTGCTGACTAGCCACTTGTGCTGATTCCATCTTATTAGCAAGGCAGGTGGAGAGGGCAATGGTGGGCCCACAGAGAACTTCTGAAGGAACTGCAGCTGAAGGCTGCAAAGATCATCTAACTAGTGTGAGGAAACCCGGGCCTGCTCCAGCCCACAGCCTGCCCTGCCCTTATGGTTCTGAAGCCTTTAATAAGCAGAAAATGCAAGGGGGAGGGAGAAGGCCTCCAGAGGGAAGGGCTGGGGGGGCGTAAATATGATTGAAACATATTGCACATGTGTATGAGGTTTTTAAAGAATAAAAATATTATACACTTGCACCCCACCACACACCAAAGAAAAAAGCGGCATTGGAGATAATATTGTAGTCCACAGAGCCTACAATTCCCATATGGCCCTTTACAGACAGGTTTGCTACTCCCTAACTTTAGAGATCGGGAACACTGTGAATCCTGCTGAGTCAGTATCAAAAGAGCTCCTGTGGGTCCGTAGAGCAATCACTGAGTCAGGAAACCTGGGCTAGGACCCAAGAACAAGTGTCCCTTCTGTGCTCCATGGCTCCCGTTTGTATAATAGCTATGTCAATCATGTTCAAACTCCCACAATTCCAGAGAGCACAAGAAGCCACTACCAACCAGCTTGTCGTAGGGACTATTTCCCCAGGTGGTTTGTTTGCAAATAAACTTTACACCAGTGAAAACCAAAGTGATTCTGCGGATGCTCAGCTTAGACAACGCATGATGCTATTGAGTCCCATGCAAAGCGTGGGTGAATCCACAGTAGCCACAGCGCTAGAGTCGCAACTCAGCATGGACGGCTTCTCTATTGGCTCTAGAGATGGGCAAAACGCCCCTTCATTTAGCCTTCCTCAGTCCATATATTCTAGCTCTTCCTGAGGCAAGACCATGAACAATTAGGGCAGAATTTCTTACAAATGGCCACTGTGGCATGACAGAGTGGCTGGAAGCTCCAGTGAGAGTTCAGCAGCCCTCCTCAGCCCCTCCTTCTATGAGGGCGTGTTAGCAGCCCACAAGCCGGGTCTTGAGGGTCGGTGGTAATTAGTCACAGCTTCTCTGATGAAGCTGGAGCTGTTATGCTGGCAAGAGCGCTCTACACAACACAGCCTGTGGCGCTGCCCATCTGAGAGGGTGAGATGACAGTGGATATTTTGGGAGTGAGTTAACTTTATAAAATTACATCTAACCATTAAGCTGTGTGTGCAACGGAAGAGATGGTTTGATAAAGGGATATCGGGGTGGGCAGTAGTTGTCCTCATACACTTCATGCCTTTCATTGTCTCTTCCCTCCACAGTGCCACCCTCCACGCCGGCCTGCGGCATCGAAGGGGAGACAGTGATTGGGAATGACATCAAGCTGACATGCCTGTCTGCAGAGGGCTCTCCGAGCCCACAGTACAGCTGGAAGAGCTACAATGCCCAGAACCAGCCGCGGCCGCTCACCCAGCCAGGTGACTAGGGCAGCAGGGAAGGAGGATGTGCCCCACATACATACAGGTGCACCTGACTGGCTAGGGCTGCCAGGGGAGACAGAGGCTGACCAAGCAGTCAAAGTCCCATTTCCCCAGTCCTGCCCTTGTGCTGTCTCAGAGTACTGGTTTTCCGTAAGAACACCTACCTCACAAAGACTGAAGCTGCTCCAGAGAAGCAGATAGCTGCTTCCCCCCCCCCCCCCCCCCCCGCGCTTGCCCATTCTCTTGAGGATGTGTGTCTGGCTGAGCATTCTGTGTAGAAACACTGGGGCTTGTTTTTTGAAGCATTATTGTGGCCTAAAGCCCACTTTTGAGGCGGGGAATTTCCTAGCTCCTTTCCTATCCAGACCAGGCCAGCTCAGACACCAACACAAACATGCCATGGATTAGGGCCCTCACTCTCAGAGCAGGCAATGGCAGAGTTAGCCAGCCTTGCCCAGAGACCCATTTTGTACTGGGCAGTCAGTATTTGACCTTTTGGTCAGGAAACAAACTAGAAGGAGGAAAAGGAAGAGGTGTAGGGGCCAAGAGAGGAAGAAAAGGGAGGAAGAGGAGAGAGGGGTGGAGCTGGGACTCTGTAAACACTCTGCTGCCATTATGTCCACCCGTGTGGAAATCCCCTGCGCTCCCAGTGTCCACCAGCTGCCATGGCTGCACCAGTGATCTGAGACAGGAACCGAAAGGCCTGAAAGATGCCTTTAAGGTTTAGCCTTGGGGTCTTTCAGTCCTGTGTGTGCTGAAGCAGAACAGAGAGGTCAGAGGGAAGCCTGTGGGTGGACACTGCCGTCTGAGCTTTCTTTGGGCCTCCAGCCCAATAACAAGTAGATTTATTAAAGTGTGAAAACTTGGCCTTAGCTTAGGCTTGTTTTCAACTAGCTCTTATCATTCAAATTAACCTACTTATATTCATCTGTGTTCTGCCACATGGCCTTACATTTCTTCTCAGTATGACACATTCCACTTGCCCCGAGTCTGCTGGTGAAATTCCTGGGTCCACAATCCTCCTCCTCCTCTTCTTCTCTCTCCCCAGAAATCCCCCCCATCTTTCCTGCCTAGTTATTGGCCATTCAGGCCTTTATTAGACCAATCAGAAGGCACCTTAGGCACCTTTACAGTGTAGACAAATACTTCACAACAGGACACACCTACTTTGAGACGCTGACCTTAGGGAGGGAAGAACATCCAGTCCCTTTAGGAAGCCAGATCGATGAACTCCCTACTCCTTAGGTTTCCTTCGAACCAGAGTGGATTTTATCATGCTGCTACCTTTCACTCATTTGGAGGCCAAACAATAACTTCTTAAAAACAAAGTTAGCAGCCCGGCAGGCGGTGGTGGTGAATGCCTTTAATCCCAGCACTTGGGAAGCAGTGTTGTGAGTTTGAGGCCAACCTGGTCTACAGGGTGAGTTCCTGGACAGTCAGGGCTACACAGAGAAACCCCTCTTAAAACAACAACAAAAGCCCCACAAAAAACCAAACAACAATAACAAAAATCCAACAAAATCAAAGTTAGCAGAACTCACTTTACTTAATGTAAAAGGAATGCTGCACTATGAATTTCCACAAGCCTCCAGCTTTACTGGCATGTTTCTGATTTGCTGATTTAAAAAAATGCATTTGTTTAGTGTTTATATATACACAAATGCACCACAGTGAGAGGTCAGAGGGCAACCTGTGGGGGTCACTTCTCTCCCATCACATGAACCCCAGGGACTCGGGTTGTCCTAATTGGCAGCAGGTACTTTTACCCACAGAGTCAACTCACTGGCCCCTGGATTGCCAGTTTTGAATGTCTGGGATTTTTGTTGAAATCACCTGGCTGCTGGCCTCAAACTCTGTGGTCTCCTGTCTCTACCCGCTATTCTCCAGTCATGGTCTGAGGACACAGTGATGTGTGACTGTCCTCCAGCAAAGTGGGCCCAGGGCTGGCGGTCATGAGGTTGTGAGCCACAGTGGCTGACATACAGTGGTGTGATGTGGAGTGTGTGACGGATCCTGGAAGCTCTCTTGGCAAAGAGGATGTTTGATTTGCTATGTGACCTGCTGCTTAAGAGCAGTCAGGGGGCTTTGATCAATCCTGGCTGTGCTGCTTGTTACTTAGCCTGTCTGTGCCTTTGTCTCTACATCTGTCAAATGGGCACAACGCCAGTGTTCATCGAGTGCTGTTCCTGTGAAGTGAGAACAAAAGTACGGAAAGCACCAAGATCAGTGCTGTGGGCAGCACAGGACTCAGTCAGCTCTAGGTATTGTTAGCTGTGTTCAGCAGGCCCTTCAGAGTGGAGAACAGCATGGGAACCACGGCTTCAGTGTGGCTGAGGGGTAGGATGCCTGTCTGTGTGGAAACATGGAAGAGGCCATTGATGGGAAAGACAGGAGCTGGAGAGGGGCCTGGGTGTCAGTCTGGGAGGCTGCACTTTTCCCTGTAAGCACAGGGCTCCTCCTAGGAGCCTCATAGGGGGTTTCCAAACATGGTCCCCTACTTCCCATTACAAGAAGTTGTTAGGGGCCAAAACTTAGTTTCTTTACTGACTAAAGTGGGCGAATCCTGAGGGCAGGGAGGAGGTTAAAGGAGGATTTGCTTCTCTGCTTTATCTAGTCCTAATTTCTCAGTTAGAATTCAGACCTGGAGTGACAGCAAAGAAGATAGCTGCTGTGGAATGCTGTCTCAATGAAAGCAACTGGTCCCATTGTACATCTGTGGGCAGGAAGCAGAGAGAGAGGGGGCAGACAGACACAGAGACACAGAGAGAGACAGAGAGAGGAGACTGCTGCTACTCAGCTCACTTTCTCCTTTTTATTCAGTCTAGGATTCCAGCCCAATGACTGGTGCTGCCCACAGCTAAGGTCTTCCCACTGTAATCACCATCCCACACAACCATGCCCAAGGCCAGCTTGATCTGGAATCTCTTGCGGGCATGCCCACAAGCTTATCTGCTAGGTGATTTTGATTCAGATTGGCAGTATTAACCAGGGACGTGATCTGATCACCATGCAGCCCTGTTGCGACAATGTGATGGAGGGTGCCACTCTCAAGGCCTCTTGTTCCTGGAGTGCCCTGCAGAGAGAGCCCTAGAGTCCTGTTTTAACTTTGTAGCTGCAAGTAAGTTGCTTTCAAGATCCTGGATCCTGAAAAACAAACTAAAACCACAAAACAACAACAAAACGTAAAGCGAGCTGAGACGTTGCTATTACCTTCCTTGAAGGAAGAAGCAGCCTCCCACAGGAGGGCTCTGGAAATGCTTTAAGAACCGTCCTCCAGCGAGTGGGTTTCAGGAGCGGAAGGAGCAGGAATTTGGACGTCAAGGAAGGAGACTGGAACGCTTTAGGGGAAGAGGTAGTGAGAGCAGAGATGGGTCTACCTGGGATGAGAGGTGGCAGCCAGAGTTTACTGACCTGCCGTGGTGGGAGGGGACAGAAAGAGTAGATCCTGTTAATCAGTATCTTGGGGTGGTCTGGGCTTCTTAGCGTTTCAGCTGAGGACAGGTGACTGTCCTGCATCCCCAGTACTGACCACAAGATGTCGCCACAACAATGGGAAACTGGGTTTCAGAAACAAGAGGGCTCTTTCCAGAAGGGATGGGAGCCTGGGGTTCCCAGTTCAACCAAAGCCAATTGGTGGCATGGAGTGTGTGCTATTTCATCCAGAGAAGTTTCTAGAGTCCATTGTTTGCTTTGGAGACTAGGGGAAGGATGTTGCTGGCATCAGGAACCCTCTTGACCCTACCCCAAAGCAAGGCCTAGAGCTGCCCTGGGGTGCTGTGGACATTTGGCTGTCACTGAGCCGCACACTTTTAAGGGGACTCTGATGCCGGCTCAAGGCCTCCTAAGCACGCTGGGGTCACAGAGCATTCTATAAAATGTGTTCTTTTAAAAACCTCTTCAAAATAACCAAGTCCAATGGGGTTGGAGGACGGAATGTTAATATTCTAAATCCCTATCAGGGGTTCCCACAGGTCCCGGCATAGTAAAACACCCATTGGCCCCGCCCCTAAAGCTTCACAGCCACAGAGATTACTATATTTGCTTTGCTTGCGGATACCTCTCCACTATCGTGTGTAAATGTCACATATAAGTGTTATACCAGAAAACACTCAGGAGTGGGGTTCTAGAATCCAAGGCTGTCACATTTTACAGAAAACAGGGCTTCAAGTTTTAAGGGAAGAATACGAAGAAAGTAGCGTATTTGTGACAAGAAGAGAAGAAAGTAAAATCAACAGGCTGCGACTAAGGGTGATTTTATCTTATTCTCTCTCCTTTTAGAGGCTTCCTCTGACCCCCCCAGACAAGAGTAAACCCTTTACTCTAAGTTCCAATACCTCTAATTTGAACCATAACCACTCACACAATCACCATTGTTTTATGTGTGTCTTCCTTTGTAGACTGGAAATGCCAAAAGGACAGGGGTTCCCTTGTTTTGTTTGGAGCCATGACCAGAATATAGATGTTAGTTTGAAGTGAGTTGACATGATTGTTTTTTTGTTTGGTTGCTTTTTTTTTTATTTTTATTTTTTTTCAAGACCGGGTTTCTCTGTGTAGCAGCTTTGGCTGTCCTGGCACTCGCTCAGTAGGCCAGGCTGGCCTTGAACTCACAGAGATCCACCTGCCTCTGCCTCCCGAGCACTAGGATTAAAGGCATGCGCCACCACCACCTGGCGACATGATAGTTTTCTGTCATACATAAATACATAACATAGGCATACATTGTTTTTACGGTGCATAAGTATTTTTAAGCATTTATTGGTGTGCATGCATGTGCACATACCAGTATGAAGGTCAGAGGGCAGCTCGAAGAAGCCAGTTCTATGAAATTGGAGTTGGGGTACTTGTATGGCAATACTTCCATACAAGAATGCTGGTAGGATGAAACAGAATGCTATTGAGAGACCATGTGACATAAAGAATCCCAGAGCGTGGAGATAGGACCTTGTCCTTGGCTTTGCACATGGGAAGTAGCAAGAGATAAAACAGGCAGGATTGCAGGACCAATCACAAATCTGTAGCTTTGTCACTATATCAAGAGCTCAGAATGCAGGGCCTGGGGGAAGGCAGTGCAGTCAGTAAAATGCTTGCATGAAAACCGTGAGGGCCTTGGTTTGATTCTGGGCAACCCACATGAAAGCTGGGCATGGCAGCACTCGCCTGTAATCCCAGCCCTGGGGAGGTGGAGACAGGATTCCTCAAGGCTCACTGAGCATCCATCAAGTAGCCAAATCAGTGAGCTTGGGGTTCATCAAGAGACCTTATCTCAAAAAGTAAGATAGAAAAGAAATAACTTACCTGGTGTACACGCACGCATGTACACACACACACACACACACACACACACACACACACACACACACACAGGTGAGCTGGTTACTGAAGATTAGAGACCATTTCTGAAATGTCTACAGGGCTGTGACAGGTCCCTTCTTGATGATTTAGAATGTCCCCTGGAGGTAGATTCCAACACCTGGTGGCAGCAAGGTCCTGATGAGGCTGGCACTGCAGTCATGACAGAATGTCTTTGAGAACAGAACACACACACACAGGCTGTCTAGGTACAACCCATGGCATCATGAATTCTGGGCGAGGTCTCTTATGAGGACATCTGTTTCATGTCCCTGGGCTCAACAATGGCTGTTTTCACTCTTACTTCCCAGAGGAGGCAGACAGCTGTGACTGAGGAATCCCAGTGACGATGAGTGAGGAGGAAGAATTTAAACTGACATAGTCCCCCAACTCACGAAACACCTCCCCCCACAACCGTACCCATACCCTACACCACACACATCACATAGACACATTTTCCTGTAAAACACAAATGCTTCCCAAGGGTTTACCCCACGTCAGGCATTCAGCTGGGCACTTGTATTTATTATTAATACTTCATTTAAGGCTCACAAGTACCTTGCCAGGCAGGTATTATCATTTCTAATTATAGATGAAGAAATAGATTCACAGAAGGCCAAGTCACTTGCCAAGTACACCAAACAAGTGGACAAAGCCAGACTTGACACCCAGGGTCCTGACTGGATCTGAAGCCATTCAGTATTTTCCCACCCGCCATGCTGATCTCCCAGTGACCTTAGAGGTATTTTTTGTTTTCCTACATCACTGGTCCACTAGCTTAGATCAGTGGGGCTCAGTGATCCTAGCTCAGAGCTCCTAGCCCTGGGCTCTGCCTACCCCACCCCTCTACCATCTTTTCACCCTGCTGCTCATCCTCCAGCCTCAGGCCAGCCCTTGATTCTGAAGAACATCACAACGGATATGGCCGGGTACTACGTCTGCACCTCCAGCAACGACGTCGGGGTAGAGTCCTGCAACATCACCGTGGCTCCCAGACCTCGTAAGAGCAGGGTGGGGAGGGAGGGGTACAAGGTCCAGAGGTGGCTGCCTGGGGCCCATTGGCGGTGAATGAAGTGGCCGCTGTGACCCTGGAGAGATGACTCTGGCCCAGGCTTTTCTGTCCCTGAGGTCAGCCCGGCTCCTCCTGTTCTTTGGAAATAGAGTTTGGGACAGACTTCTGGAGACCTCTTCAGCCACACCTGTCTTGTGGGTCACTCAGAGAGTGTGAGAGAAGTGCCTAGAACCAGTTGCCTTGGTCTAAACCCTAGTCTCTTTTTGTGGGGAGAAGGGAGACCACAGCTCTCTCCGGCATAAGCCAGAAGGTGGCAGAGTTAACACTCAGGGTCTTTGCAGAGCCTGGGTAGCCCAGTATCAGGATGCTCCGGTCTGTCTCCTCTTGTTTGCTCCTCTATCCTTAAGAGTGTCCCCAAATCTGTCTAATCACAATCTTCCAGGGTCATGACTTCTGTGGAGTGTTACCACAGGCCTGTAGCCATTGCTCCTTAGGCTGGCAGACGAACTGGAGTGGGCCAGAGGCTGGGAGTGACCAGCCTGCTGTGCCCTACACCAGTGCTGTGGTTCCTCACCTCTAGCCCGGCTTTCTCCTCTTTCATTGGGATTGAGTCGGGGGTGGAGGGGGCTAGAATTGGGGCTCAGGAGGTACAGCTGTCCATCTTCTTGTAGCTTCCATGAACATTGCGCTGTATGCTGGCATTGCGGGGGGCGCATTTGGGGCCCTCATCATCATTGGTATCATCGTCTACTGCTGCTGCTGTCGGGAAAAGGATGAGAAAGCTGAGGACGCAGAGGACACAAGGCCGTGAGTGTGCTGGCACAGGCGGCCGCTGGGAAAGAAGCAGATGGGAATACACACCCCAAATCCTCCTTGGGCACCGGCCCAGGCAGTGTCTCGGGAGACACTGTTTTTAGTCTTCCCCAGTTGCAGTTGAGGAATGAGCAAGTCACCCAAATCAAGGGCGGACTGCAGTCCTGCACTTGTCCCCTGTGCCTGTGGTTTGTATCTCGGGGGCAGGCCTTCCTGTGGTAAGCCGAGGGTCACTGCTTCTGCAGTCTCCTCAGCCCACGAGTGAGATCTCACAGTGCAGTCTTAAACCAACACTGCTGTAACAGAGTCCCTTTGCAGCTCCTGGGTGGGGATGGCGGTGGGACCACCTTACTCTGCCCCCCCACCATGAATGTTAACCTTCTCTTTCTCCATTGCCCTGTAGGAACCGAGCTGCTTACCAAGAGCCTCGAGAGCAGCGGACAGAAGTTTCCAGAGGGAGGGAAGATGAACAGGACTACAGGCATGGGGACCAGAGGAGCTCAGGGCGTAGCTCTCCAGAGCAACCCTTCCAGTAAAAGGAGCCTGTCGCCGAGGGGGAGACGAGGGCTAGGGCCCAGTCTCCCACTTCTGGCCTCTTTTCTCTCTAGCCCCATAGTCCTGCCCCTCCCTAGCCATTGGCGTAGTGCAACTTCCTGTGTTTGTGTGTTTTTGGGAGCATCACTGGCCTGGCTACATGGGTCCTGCCTGTGACCCTGACCACCACACCGAAAATACCCTTCCTTACTGCTCTGTCTGACTCAGGGCTGGGCCTTCCGCCTAAACCAGACAGCACCCTCTGCCTCCCCTATGGCTGGCAGGGGCTCCTGGAAGCTCAGCACTGAGCAGGGGTGGCTTCCATTTGGAGCTCCCCATGCAGACAGGGCCGGCTTCAGAAGGGTTGGAGTCTGCCCTGCCTGCCACAACCATCCCTCAGGGGAGAACCTGTGGATGGGCTTGCACTCAATATTTTTGTTGAATGAAGGAAAGAAATCAAAGACATGGGGGAGGCCCTGTGATTTACCCAGCTTAATTGTGCCTTCCATGCTTGGGAACCATGGTGACCTCCAGCTTCCGCCTCAGCCTCATCTCCCACCATATTGCTCCTGCTTCCAGACACATGCTTTCTCAGGACTTCTGTGAACACAGTTTCATCCCCGCCTGTCAAAATCCCGCCTGTCAAAATCCCATCTGCCTTTATAGCTCACCACTCCTGGACCCCAATGTTTTTCTTAATCCTGCCCTGATGGCTCCTATGCAGGGAAACAGCAATGCCACTTTGTCCTACACCCAGCCCTGGACAATATGCAAGGTCATCATCAGAGCTCTGCTTCCTGCTGCATTACAGTAGGTGCCCCTGGAGCAGGGCCTGGGCCTTGGAGCCTGGCAGCCTCAGCTGCAGGGCTTTGCCTCCCCACTGGGACTTGAGATGCCTGATGACTCCACCCAAGCAATGTGCTAGTCTGGTAAGGTGGGCAGACTGATTTAAAGTGAGTAACACACACAAGCTTATTTGTCTCCCATCCCTGCCCAGCCATTGGCTTCTGAATGCCAGCTGAGCCTCGATGCCCTGTCCACAGTGCCCCAACCAACACCCCCCCCCAAGCTCTTTCACTCTCCAGAGCTCAGGCCAGATGGGCTGCTCCAAATGTGCTTTATTACCCAATAAACTTTTCTGAATTACCAGAAGAGCAAGTGTATAAATCCCTTGTCCCCTTCTGGCTTTATTTACATGTATATTTTTATAGACTTTGCTAAACTCATTGTTTAATTCAAAATGTTTCCTTATCAATAAAGTTACAGTGGAAATTCCCTTTCCTTTGTTCACTTGACCTTTGTTCATGCCAAGTATACATGCTACCCAGTAGGTCGGTGAGGTGAGGTGACCAGGTATAGTGTCTTGGTGTTCCATTCCTGTGGCCAAGGTAAGGGCAGGCAGTAACTCTCAGGTTGTTGGGGACATGACAGAGCTCAGCCTTGTGGTGGGTGGAGGTGTGCTCTGAAAGCCTGCAGTGTCAGAAGATCTAGTAGGCCTGGCAATCATCCATGTGCTTCTAGGATGGTGACAGAGATGCTGTCGCCTGTGACATCCCTCCTGAGGACACGGACAAAGAACTGTCTGTTGCAGAGAACTATGGTGTATCTCCCCCAAAGCAGCTTCGATACATACTCAGTGCTCAGCTTGAACACAGACTCATGAGACACTTTCAGGGTCATCTTCTTCATGTCCCTTTTGGTGGAGCCCCATGCTTCTGTGCCAGCATCTGTCATATGGTGCCATCACAACCTAGGTGTACACCTTCGCCTCTGTCTCTGCCTACAAGACTCATGAGCATAGGAACTGGTCCAGGAAGGCATTGAGTAAGGGTTAATTAAATAGATAATGGTTACTGTCACAGTGTCTTGCTCAGGGGCTAGCTCCTAGTCACCTGGCTACTTTGAGGAGCCACTATGCCTCATGGTTCATGGCTCCATAAGCATGTCTGGAAAGCTAGTCAGTCCTCATTGGTCCTGTCACCTGTCCTGTTAGCTCAGGTTTAGAGAAGAGCTGAGGTGAAACCAGGCCCTACTTCAGGATGGATTTTGTGAGGGTCTGCTACCCTCAGCAATGCTCACAGGGATACTGAAGAGCTGGCATCCAGGGCAGGTAGCAGACACGGGAACAGTTCCATGAGACAGAGAAGGACTGGGGCCAGGAGGTTGTGTGTTCAGGGGGAGGGGGGAATGTGCCTCAGGGACTGGGGATGATTCAAAGAGGAGGTGACAGTTGGCTGCATCTTGACAAAACAGCGAGGGTGCTGACACTCAGTTGTCCTCTAGTGCAGGGCTCTATTACCTGGGTGTCAACTTTCATTATCAATTGGCAACTCTACAGATTCCTACTGAATTTATTTCAGTCCAGAAACGGTGGCAATTAGACTGTTGTGGGTTCCCACACAGCCACAGCTAGCCCAGCACAGGTGCTCCGAGGCGTTGGGTGGGTGCTCAGACAGGCCTCCAAAGGATGAGATGCATGCAGTTTATATACCAGAGCAGCTGGGTGCTCAGACAGGCCTCCAAAGGATGAGATGCATGCAGTTTATATACATTAGCTGCTCTTCAGGGGGCTTCTAATTAAGTTGCTTTTGTGGGTGATAAAGCACCAGCTCTCAAAGGTTCACAGGGCCAGGTGTACACCAATGGCAAGCACTATGGCTGCGCTTGCTCAGGACCAGCGACTTTCTATGCATTCCCCACATCTCCTCTATGCTCCTGACAGTAGCCAAATGAGGCAGGTGCTGTCTCCGTCAGTGTTCTGTTGCTGTGAGGAGATGCCGTATCCACGGCAACTCTTATAAAGAAAGGAATTTAATTGGGGGTAGATTACAGTTTCAGAGGATCAATCCATTGTCATCATGGCCGGGAAAATAGTGACACCCAGGCAGACATGGTGCCACAGAAGTAGCCGGGAGTTCTACTTGAGGATCTGTAGGCAGCAGGAAGAGGGCAACACTGGGCCTGCTTTTAGACCTCAAAGCCCGCCCCCAGTGACACTCTTCCTCCAACAAGGCCACACCCACTAATCCATCTCAAATAAGGCCATACCCTAAAGACCAAGCATTCAAATCTATGAGCCTATGGGGGGAGCATTCTTATTCAAACCACCACAGGCACTTTTAGTATTCCCATTTTACAGTGTGGATGGAAGTTTCAAGTACTTAAAACACAGAATGCCAAGTTGCTATTTTCAGCTTTTTGTCCACCTGACTGGGGCATGCACTCAATTGCTTACCGAATATGGAATCAGAGCAAGAGAAGTTGGCTGCCTTCAAGGAACTCTCATTGTCTATACCAGTACTTACAAGCAGACATTATAGCGCCGTGGAGGTTCTAGAAGCTTCTCTGGTCTTGGCTCTATCCCTATATATTGTTCCAGGGCCCTGGTCATCTTCACAGATGATCTTGCTGGGAAGCAGGGTCCTGTGAGTGGAACCTCCTTTGAGCCGCCCCTTCATTTGCATAACGGGATCGTTGTCTCTTCAGATGTCAAGTCCTTTTCCAGAGGCACCAAGTTGAAGTCTGTGGTAGTTCTTGCTTGCTGCACAGTCTCAGTAGACCATGTTAGCTTCCTTCTCTCTTTCTTCCCCTTCACATACTTTCTTAGGCTTGAGAAAACTCTCCTCCAGTTCCAATGAAATCAGCTCAGCCTTCGAGCTCCTTAAAGGCGTAGATTTCTGCTGTGACCAAGGATGTATCAGTTTTCAAGATTATCTCACGTGGAACTCTTTCCACGACTTCCTGGCTGACGGACAGATTTTTGTTTCAATTAAGATAAGTCCAACTGCTACAGAGATGGACTTAAAAATTGTGATGACTGTAAAACCAACAGTTTTTTTTTTCTTACACACTAACAATGTTTGAGACACTCAAGGTCTCCATCTCCTGTTTGTCTTTTAAAATCATTTTATTACATATTTATTTGGTTATTTTGCAAATGTGGGGCATACCTGTGGAGAACAGAGGACAACTTTCAGGAGTTGGTTCTCTCTTTGTATCATGTGGGATCCAACTCAGGTCCTCAGGCACCTTACCCACTGAGCCATCACTGACCCTCCAGTCTGCCTAAGGGTGGGATATTCTACCCTCAGGGACCAGGAAGTTGTTTGCCACCAGCCAGCAGAGGAGACAAAACATACAATAAAGTCTAGTGGCCTCTTTCAACTTTGGTCATGAGGTGACCACAGAGATTCTGCTCAGGCCACACATGAGTCACCATGTCACAGAGCAAGTCAGGAGGTAGCAAGATGCCAGCCTGTGACATTGACATGGGGAAAACAAGAACTGGCTGTTGGTTTCTGCCACCATTGCTTCACCCCATCCTCCATGAACTTCATTTTACAGAGGAGACTAGGATGTCCAGGGGGTTAAAGTCATTAGAGGTGACAAAGCCGGTAGGTGGTAGGGTGAGGATGAGACTCAGAGCTGATGATGAAGGCCTCACTCTTGCCGTCACACTTTCTCCTGGCCCCATGTGCATGCAGAGGGCGGGTACAGGGTAAACGAGACAGGAGGCCAAATGAGGGCTGCTTGCTTTAAATTTTTATATGCATGAGCTACATAACGAGACCTTGCTCAGAAAGCAATCAACTTGCATAATGAGATGTTGAGTTTTCTGTGTCATCAGGTATGAGTCATCCCTTGCACCTTTTGAAGGGACAGGGTGACTCATTCAGCTTTGTGAAAATGTCAGATGATTCACTAGGAATTTCACTTACTGCAGTGTAAGCCCCTCCCTAAAGGGATCTCAGGGATGCTCAGATCCTATTTGGAGAGGACAGGTATCATTCATTGCCTTTCAAGATGCAGAAGGTGGTGTGTGTGTGTGTGTGTGTGTGTGTGTGTGTGTGTGTGT